AGAGAGTCGTGACGCACGCAAACCAAAGTAGTAAATACTTTACATATTCGTAATAATCTCGAATACTACATCATTTGCGAAACTAATTGTACCCATAACGTCAACTCTTAAAGATCACCACTCCAACAAGTTTTGGTTTGTGTGCGTCACGACTCTCCAATCGGCACAAAATGACCTCCACATATCGAGGCAATCACATGCGCTTATCGAGGTGTTCACAAAACGATTACTCTTAAGATTGTAAAAACTACGTCCAAAATTGTTTTAATATTTAAACATAATTTTGCGCTGAAGATGACCCAAAAAAAGGGCTCGAAACGTTCGCTTTAGAATTTAGAATTTAGACAACTGTAGTGTTTAGAACTCAAATTTAGATCCCATATATGCTATCTACCGCTCTAAATTCTCGTTTTTCCTTTTACTAAACTTATATATATAACTTGTCCTTCCTTAACGATAGACTCTCATTGCCCTTTATTACATCGAGTATTATTGTCGGAGTCATTATTTTTGTTTATTTTGATATTGTCTTAGGACCTAAAACAGTAAGAGGTCAAACTGTAAGTACAAAATTGACTCCTACTTTAAAACCGATAGTGTCGGAAATTTCTACCTTTGCCAATTTAGCATTGCAGTAGGCCCTTCTAACAATAAGTAGAAGCTAAAGTAAATTCTTAGAATTAAAGATTCAAGGGAGGAGTAAAAAAATATAATGTCGTCAAAGTAGGTTATTGCTGGTCTATGTAGGTGCACAGATCAGCTAGGTAGGTGTGAATTATCCTTAAAAGTGTCAAAATAGTACCAAAATTTGCGACTCGGGGTACGCTCTCGTGATTTAGCCCAACCAATTGCGGATCTGTATTCAGCCGCGCATCCCCGATTCATCTGGGAATCTAGCCGCGATCGACGATTTGCTAAAAACCGCCCTCTCGCGCGTCCCCGTCGCGAAAATATGCGTGTCGTTTGTATTCACGGTACGCGCGGCGAAACTTAAATTGCCGCGATTAAACTCGACACCGCGCGCGCGCGCGACGGGAGATTAATGAATTTTCGGAAGCGTAAAATCTCCCGATACTCTACGCGGCGATGTTTCTACTCTACGCGGATCGATCTGCGAAATTTCGCGGCCCGCTGTTCGACTGGTTTTAATAAACGAGCGCGCGAAGGGAATGCAGATCGCGCGCGAGATATATAGGGATAGCTACATCTCGGTGGACCGCGGGAACGAACCGGCGGCTTTTTCTCGCCCTCGTCCGTCCCTTTTTTTCTCTCCCTTTTCTCTTCCGTCGTCATCTCTCTTTCCCTCTCCCTCCCCCACCCCTCTCTCTCTCTCTCTTTCTTTCTCGCGCGCGCATCTCCTTGAGCAAGACGTATCGACGCGGATTTTTTTCCGCGTCAGTCATTTATCAAAGCCCTTCGTTCTCGGCCGCACCCCACCCACCCGATACACGCGGATCCGGCAGAAGGATTTAGGCAAAGAGACTAGACGGAGGTGGAAAAGGAAAGGGGTGGCAGGGGGCGGGCGGGAAGGGAGGGACGTGCCCTTCCTCGGACCACATCCGGCAGTGTCGGATCGAGACGTCGCGAGATCCCGGATCCACTTGCCCTCTCGTCCATTATTAGTGGCGTCCGTTAGTTCGACGAGAAAGGACAATCGCGGGATAGACGACATCCGCGCTCTCCGTCCGTTCTTCCTCGGACGCCCGTGGCGTGCCAGATCTTTCGGCCGTGACGAATAATAATGGCAAAAATACAGACGGACATATCGGGAGGTGCGAGGCAACCGCGAACGTAGTAATTAAGGCCGAGGCATTAATCCTGAAAAAAAATTCGACGGCCGCCCGCTGCAGTTCCCAACGTTGTAGCCCGGGCAAAAATAGCCCGACCACGTCCTCGCACGCAACCTTTCCCCGAGGAGAGCTTCACTTCCGTCCTCTCCCCCGCCTACCCCGTTCCCTTTCGCAAGAGCTCGATCGAGTATCGGATGCTTGTGGTTTTAGCGCGAGCGCGAGCGGAGGAGACCGACGCTACGGTAAATCCTCCGGCAACTCGGCGACCTGCAACGCGCGCCCGACTCACACCTGCCCTCCCATTTCCGGAGAGAATGCACTCGCCGTACGCCGCCCCGCGCCCTCGCCAAGTCTCGCGGGATTAAGATTTCGGCGGAAACCTGAACGCCGACGATTCTACATGTGGGTTCGATAAAATCTCGACGATAACTGCGCGCAACTATACACAAGATTTCCCTATGTATTTTATTTATATCCTTCTATTTGTTCTTTCTACAGTAGCGATTCTCTACGATGATTACATCTTGCACGGCGAATGAGCAGTTTGTAGACCGGAGTGATAAGACAAGTGGTAAAGAGAGCAGCGACGTAAATTCATTCTATTATATAACGTGACCATCGCCCACGTGCTTAACTTCGGCAATACATATTCCTAAGATAACTAGGATAAGGTTACATGTACCTATACTTAAAGAATAGTTAAGATAAGGTACCTAGATAAGTGAGAATTTTCCAGAGAGATAGACGAAATACTATTTTACCCTATCACTGCAATAGTTCTTCAAGATTCCGATGCACTGTAGACACGACTCGATCAATCAGCATATATTTATTTCCATAACTGTAAGTGTTATTGTAAATACAGTACTAAATAAATAATTTCTTTCTCTTTTTTTCTTGGAATTATGGTTTTTGTCAATCTTACAATAGAGAACAACGGATAAGTTTAGCCGACTGGTACGTGTTCAATAAATTATAAATAAAAAATATACAGTGCGACGTTTCTTACAATAGATATATAAATCAACAATTTTTTATGTCGAAGCAAATCGAATTCAATTTCCTTTTTCGAATTTGAATCGAACCGAATCGTCAAAATTGTATTGTTAAATTTTAACATGTAGATCATAAGAATATTGTGATGTAGAGAAAAAATATTGATTATAAATTTGTTTTAAGGTAAGAAACTTAAATAATTAATATTAAACTGATAAGATATTCTTTATTTAATGTCGCAGTAATTGGAACCATTAGGTGAAAAATCATACGATAAATTATTAAAAGAAACTTTGTATTGCAGTATGTAGTCTTTCGTAAAGTAATATACTGTATTTTATTATCAACATTCTTTGATTTGGCTCCAAAGATAAAAATCAATCACATTTTGTCGTTTACCTAGAAGCTCAGTGAACGGTTGTAGTATTGAAAGCATCCACTGAATGTAACTTGACATCACCGTATTATTTATTGAATATCTGATTTGATAAAATTGACAATATATACGATTCGTATCCATTCAGATTCAAAATTTTCGAGTAATTTATGGAAAAAGAATGTAGCTGCCATAGCTAAAACCTGCACGTGGTAACTAAATTTCAGTTGTAAAATATGAACAGCTAATATTTAGTTGTGACAGCTAATATTTTGCCACTGTGGCTATTGTATCAGGTACGACGGCAAACCGTTTGCTGCGATTTAGAAATTTTCACAATAGCTATGGTAGCAAAATATTTTGAGCGAATCATCATTAGCTATGGTAGCGAAATTTTTTCTTTCAGTGTTGAGATTCGAGCCATAGAAATTCAAATTTGAATCTCGCCCGATTCGTTTCGACTCATATGCGAATAGTCCGCACATCTCTGTACCTTCTACCTCCCACTCCGTTTTCTTGTAGATTTTATGCTTCCGAGCTTCTATAAACTCTGGATGGTGGTGCGTGAACGCGGGCGCGAGCGTTACACGACCTTTTGTTATCTCCTTTGAAAGAGACGCGAGTGCATATTGCATTACCTCGCGCAGAGCGCAAGGAAAATGGAGATAGACGGCGGCGAGGAAAGGGTGAGAGGGGAAGGGGAGAGAAAGACAGCTGTAGCATGGGAGGAGAGCGGGTCAACCTGCCGAGTTTCATAAATATTTTCTGTACGGGCGTCACCAAACTGATTTACGGTAGCTAAAATGTACGGGATGTATAACGTGACGCAACGTAACGAGACTCGAGATGCGTTGCGTCTTATTGAGTCATTGAGGAAATATGCAGCTAAAGTCCTTCCGATAGAAACGAATAAGCGCTGTTAAAGTTCAATTTAAGGGCCATTCAATCAAAAAAAAAAAGGAAAAGAATACCCGCCGAGAAATACGAGTGTTTGATTAGGGAGCGCGCCGTGCACATTATTCACGGACGTGTGTGGAGTGTGGCCGCGCATATGCAAATACACGACGCTGTCCAAAAGGCAAATACATGCGACCGTAAGATAAGACTGGTTCAAGGGCTCCGGGATATCCCGGCTGGGGATATCCAGGAAGGACTCTCGCGGTCCCGATCGAACCACCGGATTATTAGCGATAAGCCCTTTCACGCCCGAGCACGGTAAAACTCGTCCTTGCACACTCGCCTGCCGGTGCCTCTATAATCTCTCCCGCGCGTACTTTATATTGGATTTAAACTCGCACCGCACTTCTGACTTCGTTAAAGGTCGACTCGTTAATTAAGCGCAAACGGCGTAACGAAGAGTACGAATCGAGCGAGAGCGGAAAGAGTCGTTTGCCGCGCGCAGAAGAGATTTTATAGCGCGTTTTCCTCGCACTAGAATAACTTTGGGAGCAGCGTGAACATGCGAGCATCGGTGTAAAGTATACCGTTTGCAAGATCGGTTAGTTCTACTGTCGTAGAACCGGACGTGGAGACAGTTATAAGAATTTAAAAATAGCCAATAGTTTCCTTCCGTTTTAAGAACGTCGTTCCCTGCCTAAAGTACATGATCCTGAGTTCTGTTCTGAGTTGTGTGAAAATTTCTAAATTCGTGCCATGTGTAGAAGAAAATTACGAGATAGGCTCTTAAAAACGGTGTTTCCATCCGTTGATTCCACCACGAATTTATTGTCCTCGGCGGGAAATCTCTCTGTTTAGCGGCAAATTCATTGTTCGATGGTGTAGTCATTGCGAGAAAAGAGATTTGTGATTGAATTTGGACGTTGAAAACCTGCTGTCTCATATTAGAAGCCTATTTCGTAATACGGGACTTTCCTCTATGTGTTTTTCCACAATCCGCACTTTTGATATTAGATTACTATATAAATGTGCTTTCTGCAGTTTTCTTTGTGGTGTTCGACGAATCTTGAGCGTTCCTCGTTTTTATAATTTAATTGTTATATACAAATTATATTTTCAACAAATGATATTTACTCCGCAACCTCATCCCCCCCTTTATCATCCATTTATCAAGATTATTAAATATCAAGCGTGACCTATACATTGCGGTAGGACGCGTCAAAACGACCGGATACGCATAGATTATTCAATTTCCGTTAAGTGAAATAATGGCAGTGGAGTGGCCCAAGAAAGAATTTGGATATTGAGGTAGGTACAGTAGGCGACGAAGAATAGGATAGGCTGGTAGGGAGACGAGATAAAATGGGAGAACGGAGGAAGAGCGTGTCATTTGTACGAGCCGCCGAATATAAATACCAAAGACGAAGTCTTTAAAAGTCAGTAGTAGAGGAGCGGACCCAGCATTGTGAGTGTCACATACATCAGCTTTGATTTCCTGGCACGAAGAGAAGCCCGGTCATAAGAGATCAAGCACCAGCCTTATTAGTCAAACTGCGCGTTTATATGTACGCACGAATTCGCAGACAATGTGGCATAAAATTGAGAATCGTATAAATACACGATAAACTGTCCAATTTAGAGCTGTAACGTTTAACAGAGAGCACACGAACCGCAGATCTTATCGGCAATCATGGAAACGGCCGAGGACTATGTGAATGGAGGAAGCATAATGCAACGTCGTGACGTCCAGGACTTCGTAGAGGAATTCGACTACGAAATGTCGAAAATGGGAGGAAGGTGTCTCGATATCGGATCAGGCCCGGGGGACATCACCAAGGAATTGATATTGCCGCTTTTGTCGAACGACGCGGAGATAGTAGGTGAGCAAATGAACATTTCGCGGAAGACAAAGAACTTTGGCGAAAAGCAGAAGGAAAAACCCTTGCGCCGTCTTTGCAGGCGCGGATATATCGCAAGCGATGGTGAATTACGCACGCGAGAAGCATTCCGATGAGCGAGTATCCTACACCGTTCTGGACATCGAAACGTTGGAGCTGCCGAGCGACCAGGTCGAGCAATACAACAACGTCGTGTCCTTTAACTGTTTGCACTGGTGCAACGATATGTGGTAATTTTCTTGGGTGATCCACCCAAAAAAAAAATATTCTATTCATAAGCGGGGAAATCCTCTAAGCATTTCCTCTAAGCAAGAAATCTTATATGAAGCATTTCTCACTTACTTTAACACATATTCATCTCTAAAAGAGTAGACTCACAAATTATAATTAAGAATAAATTCTTTTATAGAAAATTCCATTACAGTAATACGACTAGCCTCTTAAAATAAAAGGATACGCAAGATATTCGCGGATACGCGAATCGCAGCACGTGCGCTTGTTATTTGTTACACGATTGTCATTTGTTCGCGACACACAGGGCAGTGTCAGTTGCCCTGTTTGTAGCGAGCTGTGAAACACGTGTAACATACACGACAGTGTAGTGTAGTGCAGTCAATTTGGTAAAAGTTTGGTAACTCAAAAATTTCTGGAGAAAGCCTATTTAAGTGACTACTGGCCCACGTTTGCGAGTGAGTTTGTTTTTGCTGATAGCTTTTTGGATATACAGGGTGAGTCTTTCTATATCCGACAAAATTTTTGAGAAGGTAGAACGGATCGAGATGAATGGAAAAGTCCTGTACCATTTTGCAATTTTCGTAATAGTTAACGAGTAATTAATTATTAAAAATCGTTGTCTTAGGCCGGCCTACCGCCCAATTCGAGCGCGTAGCGAGATGTGCGCATAGCAATATCGATCGCCAGG